AACTCTGTCCCTTAAATATTTACATTTCAGCCTGTACTGTTGGCAGGGCATGGAGTAAACATATGGATTTGAGGCTGAGGTGCTGAGAAATTCCAATGGATTCTACTTGGGTTTGTTTTGATTTTTTCCCCAGGTGACCTTAAACAACGTGGAAGTCTGCAGTGAAAACATCATGACTCTAAAGAAGACGTTGGAGGTGCGGTCTGTGTTCTTCATTGTTTTTTTCCTAAATCAAATTTGTAATATCCTCCCTTGGTAGGGGTCAGATAAAGCATCTGGACTTTGATATGCCCAAATTCCTGAGGTCTTTGCCCTCCAGCCTTAGGAAAGCAATTTTGAGCTGGCAGAGCAACTTCCAGCTGATGGCAGCAGCCGGAAATACCATTTCCTCCAGCCTGACCAACCTGGTGCAGGAATAAAATGCACATCATGGAGAGGCTGTGGTTCTCTGGTGCTGGGCTAGACAGCCCCTGGCCTCCTTTCTTGCTCTCCCTCTCTCTCCCCAGCTGGAGCCAGCTGCCTGTGCCTTTGCAGGGGCAGGAGCTGTCCTAGCCCACGGGCTGGTGGGCAGCCAGAGCTCAGCAACACGAGGGGATAGAAGCTGCCCAGGTTATTAATTTGCAACTTGCTCACGGATCTCTTCCCTGCAGAGTGATTGCAGCAAACTGCTCAGCCAAGGCTTTGGGGGTGAGCAGGCACAGGCCAAGATTGAGAGCTGCCTGTCGGACATGGCTGCTGTCTCCAACAAATTCCGTGACCTGCTGCAGGTGAGTGCCTGGAGGAGTTGCTTCTGGCCCCCAACACTGGCTGCTGGTGTCTTCAGGGAGAACTCAAGCAGGAGTCAGGTCAGCCCAGGACCTGACCCCAGGAGTGCTGGGTAGGGGTACAGTCAGCTTTGAGGCATGGGAGCAGCCCCAGCCCGTTTGCACAGCTGCACCAGCTGGCGACTGCAGAAAAGCACTGGAAGCAGCTGCAGAGCCAGAAGGAATGTTGCTCCATTTGTCTTCTCTCAGCACGGAGTTGTAGATGGTTCAGCACTTTCAGGAGAAGAAATATTAATAGCATTTCCATCTCCTCCATTCTCCCTCGTGGCACAGCACATTGTCAAGTTGTCCACAGCCTCACTAAGTAACGCTGAAGACAGGCAGTTGGTAGAAAAGAGCAGCTCTTTTCTCAGGTTTCTCCTCCTTTCCCAAATGCAAATACTCCTTGGCATGGAGTCTGGCTAAATCCAGTCTCCTGGGGCCTCTTATCCTAAAATTTCACAGTGGTCTCTGGCAGGGAGAGACACAGGAAGACCTAGTACCTCCTGTGGAAGGAAACCAAGCAAAAAGAGAGTATTTTCAGCCAGGTTTGCCTTTGTACTTCACAGAGAGGCCAGGCTATTTTTCATTTGGCTTTGCAGTTCAGGGCAGCCAGATGTCTTCAGAGCAGCATTGCCAGAAAACCCTCCTGGTGCCTGTGGTCTGTATCAAAACCAAAGAGCTCGTCAGCAGGGAGTAAAACTCTCCAGACTAGCTCTAGTGCAGTGTTAAAACTGGCTGCAAAGCAATCAAGAGGCTGAGCAGCAAGTTTCCTGCACTGTATGAATCACACACACATTGAATTTGCCTCGGGAAAGGGCAATTGCCAGCAGGGCCTGCTCAGAAATGCCAGTTTTAGTGAAAAACTCCCATCAAATGCCAGGCAGTATCAGTACCTGCATAGTTTCATGCTGGGTGAGCTTACTGAGCCAAAGGGGGGTGTCTGACAGGAGAGGCCTTTGAGAGCTCTCGAGCATCACAACGGACAGAGCAGCCTTTGCTGACAACCCGCTGCTCAGGGGAGATGGTGTGTTGCTGGGGTTATGATTAATGCAGGGAACTCACTGTGGGTACAGCTTTTATCCTCCTTTTAGCTTCTCCTACTGAGCTAAGCTGCACTGGAGGTGGGAGGCATCAGCTGAGTGCAGTCACATTGACCTGGCTGGTGCTGAGTGGAAAAGCTGGAGTTTGTGGCCTTTCCTTTGTGCCTCACTCCTGCCAGGAAACCTCTGTAGCCACGCGGGATGGGCTGGGAGAAGCAAGAGCCCTTCAGACCAGGCTGCAAGTCAGCACAAAAGCAGCTTCTGGGCCAACATCCTTCCTCTTCTTGTGTCCTCAGAGCCTGCCAGCACTGGAAAAGTGTGGGATTTGGGACTTCTGAGTTCAGATTCCTGTGCAAGTCTGTGGGTTGATTTCCCCAGCTTGCAGTGAGGATGGAAGCATCAACACATCCTGGCTGTAAAGGTTTTGTGCCTCACTGTCCTCTCCTCTTGCTGTCCCCCTCAGGAAGGTCTCAGTGAGCTGAACAGCACAGCCATCAAGCCCCAGGTGAAGCCCTGGATCAACCTGTTCCTCTCTGTCTCCCACAACATTGAGGAGGTAAGGCTCAGTGTTTTCTGCTTCCAGCTGTACCTGGGCACTCTTCATCCTCTGCTCAGCAGCACAGTCAGAGCAATGCATTCATCCTCTTCACTTACCTGCTGTTTCCTTCCTGTTCCTTCCTGGCACAGAGCAACAGTAAAATACCCAGATCTTGCTCTGCAGCTGAGCCTGGGTAGGGACGTTTGGCTTGAGAGGAGCTTGAGAAAACGGAAAGGGTGCAGAGCTGCTCCAGGAGGAGCAACCCTTCCTGTCCTCTGGGCTGTTGGCTGCAGTTCACTTCAGGCCACATAAACAACCCTTTGCATTTCACTGTCAGGAGGAGTTCAGCGACTATGAGGCCAACGACCCCTGGGTCCAGCAGTTCATCGTCAATCTGGAACAGCAGATGACAGAGTTCAAGGTGAGAGAGGAAGGGAGGGAGATGGCAGCCTGCCAGGTTTTAGCCAGACCTCCACGTGGCATCTCCCAGCTCCTCCCTCCCCCTGCTCAGGGGAATGGCAGGCAGAGATGTCCTCCAGTGCCTTGCAGGGCTTTTAGGGGTCCAATCACCCTCCTGCAATTCTCAAAGCCTGCTTGCAGCCCCCATGTACCTGGATCACTTCTGTGGTGCTCTCCACTTGACAAGCCTACAAGTGATGGGTCGTTATTTGAAAGCTCTCCTAGGCTTGGGGTTTGGGGACCTCTGCTCAGATTTTCTTGACAAGAATGACACAGGTTTCTGCTTCCAGGCTGGACTGTCTCCAGTGATTTACGATACCCTCACTGGTCTTACAACCAGTCTCATAGCCATTGAACTGGAGAAAGTGCTGCTCAAATCCACTTTTAGCAGGGTAAGCAAAACACCCCTCTACCCTGTAATCTGGTTTGACTCCAAACTCTTTGTAAAGGGCAGGTCAGAGGCACACATTACCCTCAAAAAAGCTCTCCAACCACCAGTGGCCAACTCAGGGAGATCCTCTATTACCACCCGCAGGGAGAAAGTGTGTTATGTGATAGGCCTGAGAAAAGCTGGCACCAATAAGGGGGGGTGGCTTTAGTGGTGGGTCTAAACATAAGCCATTTTAAGTTGCAGTAAATGGTCTAACTGGAACCCTCCTGCTCAGAGACCTCCCCCTGCTACTCTATGACTTTTAACTATGTCTTTGGCACAACCCCTGGGCCTGCTTGGAGAGGTAACAGAGCTCCCTCGTGCCCGCAGCTCGGCGGTCTGCAGTTCGACAAGGAGCTGAGGTCTCTCATAGCCTATCTCACCACAGTCACCACCTGGACTATCCGCGACAAGTTCGCCCGTCTTTCCCAGATGGCCACCATCCTCAACCTGGAAAGGGTGAGCTGCACTTGGTCTGCTTTTACTGGGGGATTGTGGGAGCCCCAGCTGGACTCCACAGTGGCTTTACTGAGCTCATCCAGGTGTCGTCACACCTCCAGGGTGTGGGGAAGCTGGAGAAGTTGCCCCGTGCCTGATGGGTGCTCGCCCGCGGGGTTAGTGGCAGTTTGAACTCACCTGTGTGGGTGGTCTGTGCTGAGTCGTCTCCTACAGGTCCCTTCTTTTTCCAGGTGACAGAGATCCTGGATTACTGGGGCCCGAACTCGGGCCCGCTGACCTGGCGCCTGACGCCGGCCGAGGTGCGGCAGGTCCTGGCTCTGCGCATCGACTTCCGCAGCGAGGACATCAAGCGGCTGCGCCTGTAGTCGGTCGGTGCTTGTGCCAGCACCACGCTCGAGGGAACGGCAGGAAAGCTGCAGCCCCGGGGCCTGCCCGGGCCCTGCCCTGGCTGGCTGCTACACAGCATGGGGATGGGGTGATGTCTGCCCTTCCACTCACATTCCTTGGAGCAAAGGGCTTTCCCGGGCCTGGTAAGAAGAGCTGACACACTTTTGTGGGAGCAGAAACAAGGCAGCAGAAGAATCTTACACTGAGAGCAGTGTGAGGCTCTTTCTCAGAACACAGGCTAGTGCCAGCTCCTGACTCCCTGCACTCTGCTCCCTGTGGGAGGCCACAGGGCAGGACACTTGGGGGCTGCTGTGGCTCAAAGATGGGTCTGCAAAGCTCTGCCTGTGCAGCTGCTGCAGTCATGTGTCCTCTGTGCCCCTAGTTTAAGGGTCAGCTACTGGAGTCACAAATCCTGAGCCCTGGTTCTCTCCTGGTGGTGGTGTGGACTGTTCTGCTGAAGGGAAAAGGAGTGATTTCCTAGGGAAGGTACTTGAAAAATCACTAGAGAGCCTCTGTGGGAAGCAGGGCTGTGTCCCTGCTGGCTCGCTGTGCCCTGTACAGCTACTCTGTAAATAAACCTCACCTGGCTGAGCTGCAGTCTCGTGGTGTGTGCATCCGTGGGCCTGGAGCGAGCTGGAGAGATGCTGGACAAGAGCTCTGCTCCATTTCTCCTCTTCTACCCTTGCCAGGGTATCCAGAGGATCTTCCTGCCCTGCCTGGTGCTGTCCCCATCACCTAGGGCTGTGGAGGGCAATGACCAGCCCCTGCATGCAGTTTCTGCCATTCCCACTCCTAGAAAAGCTTTGCCCACGCATTGCTGGGCTCTTGCTCTCCCGTGGGAGCAGCAGCCCTGCCAGGGACAGAGGGGCACAAACACCTGCTGGGAACAAGCTCTTTTATTCAGGCTGACTGCAGGAATTAGTAACTTGCTTTCATTATTTATTATATCAATGCTGAAATAGTCCCTCAGGACAGGAGAGGGTCTTGATTCCACATCCAGGTGCATCCTTGGTGCAGGAGCATTGTGTGCTGAACAGGCAGTGTGGGTCCCTGCTGCTGGCAGAGCAGGAAGGTTCCTGCCAGAGGCAGCATCACAAATGGTAGTCCTTTCCCTTTGGAGAACCGTAAAAACTGGAGTGAAACTGCAATATCAGTCTAGAGGCCCTTGCAAACTGTCCTTCCAGCAAGGCCACCCTCCAGGGAGAATTGTGCCTGCCCAGCTCATCACAGCTTCTCCAGCCTCTGTGGCTTTTGGGGCAAGCAGCAGCACAAAAAGGCCATATCAAGACCTAAGGCACCTGCTGGAGCTGCCCCTAAAGCAGTGGGGATTTCCTGTGTATCTGCCAGGAACTGGCCAGGGCTGAAGGCCTTCACACAGCCCTGTCCTCTCCAGGGTGAGCACCATCCTTCGTATCACATCCCACAACCTCCAAGGAGAAACCGCCCGTGTCCACCTCGATGCTGTGGATGCTGAAGTTGCCCAGCCCCTAGAAAAATAAAGAGTCACTGGTTGGGACAGGAGCCAGCAAGGGACCTGTTCTCACCTCCGAGGTCCCAGGGAGGGCACTGGGACAACCAGCCATCACATCCCACGTGCTGTGGGGCGAGATGCTCCTCATGCTCTCTTACATAAAGCTCCTGCAAACTGCCTGTGACAGTGAACCTCCCCAGAGCTCACACCTCACCTCGGTGCCAGCGAGGAGCTGCTGCAAAGCCTCTCTTTGCCGCGGGGCTTTGGTTAAGACATAAAGGAAGCCACCGCCGCCGGCCCCGGCCAAGCACTGCCCGTGGACGTGGGGCCGGAGAGCGTCCATCATGTGCCCCACAGCCAGCGGCTCACACCCAGGGGCCATGACCTTCTTCTGCTGCCAGTAGCGGTCCAGACACTTGCCAACGAGAGGCAGGTCACCTGCAGGGAAGGGGAGATTGCAAATTACTTGTCTCTGCTCCTCGCCCGAAGGGCACAAACCTGTCTCTGCCTCTCCTGCTCAGCACAAGATAAATCCTGCCTTCTCCTCTCCCCAGTTCCTCCCAGCTCTGCCTGCCGAGCAGGCAACCCCAGCCCTGTCATGTTGCTGTTTATTTTTAATCCTCCACAGGGGGAGGATTTGCTTGCTTTAATGCTCTGGCTTCCTGTCCACAGCATCCCAGCAGCCAAGTGAACCCGCTGCACAGGCCAGGAGTGGCCCTCAGCCCTGTCACCAATGGCTCACAGAAAATCAGCCAGACACAGCATGTCTAACCCTCTCTTCCTCAAAAATCTTCGTTCAAGCCTGAATTTTAGGGCGTTGCCTGGCGAGGGTGTGTCTGTGGGAGGATTTGAGACTTTTGCAGCTGCAAGAGCCTGCAGCCATCGGCCTTTGCCCCCTCCAGGACTGCACAGCCTCTCCCCAGGAAGTTTGTGTTTCTTCAGCTGTTAAAAGGGCTGGCTTGGCACAGGGAAGGGGATTCACACCTTGCCTCAAGGCCTGGGCACACTCCTCAGCGTTGCTCACCAGCGCATCAGTGTTTTGCACGATGGAGGGCAGCCTGGCGTACCAGTTCCTCACCACGTCCTGCAAGAGGCCAGAATGTCCCTGTCACCATCCCCCTGGCAGCACCTGGGGATGTAATGCTGCACCCACAGCCTTGGGTGTCAGCTCCCACTGGGGTGGCAAAGCTGTGCACCAGTGAAGGGAACAAGTGCCAAAGGCCACAGGAGGAGCAGAGGCCAGAGCCTGTGACACCCAGGGGCACCCAGGCATTACCTGGAGCAGGTTGCGGGCCAGGCGAGTCTTCCCCGTGTACACCAGCAGCAAGTGATCACTGAGGGTCTGGGTAAAACCGTCAGGCACCAGAATCTGTTCCACTTCCACCCTGAGGGGCAACTGCGCCTTCGACCTTCCGATTTTGATGCCAGGGACGAGCCCACCAACCTGGTCCTGCCAACCACCACCTGCAGGGCAGAGGGTCCTCAGTTGTCGCTGGGACCCCTACCCCATGGGCCAGCTGCTCCCCCAGGCAGCTCACTACCTGTCGTGAGCCTCTGCTCCAGGTGCAGCACGGCGTGGATGAGGGACTCGGTGCTGGCAGCCTTCCCAGCCGCCCGGTACAGCGATGCCATCACTGCTCCTGCCAGGATACTGCTGGTGCCTGCAGGGAGCACAGGCAGGCAGTGAGGCACTGTGTGTACCCTAAGGGTGGGGAGCAGCAAGGGGGATGCCCCATCATGGTGCTGGCGACTCTCTGGCGCAGGAGGGACTGCCCAGCCCTTTCCTTGCAGACTTACCCAGGCCAGACCCGTGGGGCAGCGTGGACCAGGTGTGCACTTCGAAGCCACTCCCAAAATTCTCCATCAGCTGGACCCGCAAGGGTTTCTGTGAGGGGAACTGCACGACCTGGGTGCAGATGAAGGCAGCTTTGAGCAAGGCTCCTGAAAACAAGAGGAGGTAAAGCTGATGCCTGCTGTGCTACCTGCTGCCTCATCCCATTGTCCCCAAAAACCCTTGTACTAAGAGGCCATGGCAGGTGCAGAGCTGGGCTGTGCAGCTGGGGACACCTCACCTGGTGCATGTGGCTGGCAGTAATCCTGTAGGTGCTCCAGCTCCTGGCACACCAGCTCTGTCACTGCCTGGCTCGGTGGGGCCCCGCTGAGGCTGACGAGGCGCAGCTCTGGCGCGGGGATGCGCCGCACCCGGGCACCGATGGGCCGGCACCCGTCCACCAGCACCGCCACATCCACCACGGCCCCCCCGTGCTCGTAGGTGATTGGGGGGGTGTCACTCCAGCCACCTGCCAAGGCTCAGCATCAGCCCCCTGGGGCACTCCGACTCCTTTTTCCCCAGCACCACAGGGGTGAGACGTGGATCATCTGACTGGGGGGATGCACTCACCAGAGAGGTCCAGGCGGGCCGGACAAGCCACCTGCACCCAGTGCCCCAAGGGTGGCAGCTCTGCCTGCCCCACGGTGACAAACTGGCACGAGGACATCACCGCCTGCCGGACCAGGATTTGCTCGGCCCCCTCGTAATGCCGAGCTGCTCTCACCAGCAGAGCTGGCCTGGGATGAGAGGGGTGCTGAGCCCGCTGCCACATCTCCATGACTGCACTGGTGCCTGGGGCAGGGCAGCTGCTGCTTGTCAGCCCCAGCCTCACCGGCTCATCCATTTCTGCCGCTCGGCAGCCAGCTCCCGGACACCGCTGGCAATGTCCCCGCGCTCCAGGCACCCAAAAGCCGAGGCCCACTCCCTGTTGGCAGCAGGGCCGCTCCGCAAGCCCCCTTCCCCTCGTGCCATGCAGCCCAGGACCTCGGCGATGCAGGCGAGCGCTCGCGCTGCAACACCAGCGTCACCGGCCGTGGAGGCAACTAGAAAATAGAATTAAAAGAGGCTGCAGATCACTCCAAACCAAGCCACTTCTGCCATAAGCAGGCTCCAGGGGGGCGGGACTCAGATGGTTTGTGCCCATGCAGGCTTGTTGGATGCCCTGTGGGTGCACCCCCATGGGTTCCTGCAATAGGTGTGGTCACTGAAGGGGGTGGGGAGCACCGAACGGTCCAGATAGCCAAAGATGCAGCTCGTGTGAGTCCAGCTTACCTTCATCCAGTGTGCCCAGCACGGCCTCATGGTAGCCCTCGTGGACAGCACTACGGGCCAGCGGCAGGAGGCTGCTGTCCTGGCGCCCCAGCAGCACCCGCCGCACCTTGCGCTGGCCCTGCAGGAAGAAAAGGGCCTGGCGGGTGCCCAGCTCGGCCGCCGTGTCCAGGCAGGGCAGCAGCTCCTGCCAGGACATGCGCCAGGCCGTCCGCCAGCGTGCTAGCTGCTCACCGGTCCCTGTGGCCGGGGCCAGCAGCCACAGCACGTCCTGCAGCCCCAGTGCCTCGCAGGCGTGCAGCACCGGGAACAGCCGCGCGCTCAGCAGGCAGCGGCTCCCCCGTGGCGTCTCGGCATCCCAGAGGTCCCCTTCCCTGATGGAGGAGAGCCCATCAGCACTGCCCTGTGGCTCAAGAACACCTTCCAGGAGGGGAGCAGGGATTCAGGATGGGTTGGGGTGGCTGTGACACCTCCCACTGCAGCTATCCCCACGGGAGCTGGGTCTCCTGTCCCATCCTGGCACACGGCACCTACCGTATGCCAGTGCGTTGGAAAAACTCAGGCCAGGGCACGTTCAGGTAGGTGGCCTCTTCCACAGGGCTCTGCAGGGGCACAGAGGGGCCGGTTACACCTTGGCTTCAAGGGGAGCCTCGTGCCCCCTCGCCATCCCCGCACCTGCCAGTCGTCGAGGCGGCCGGTGAGAGTGAACACACGGCAGGGCAGGTCACGCAGGCGGACGTGGTGGCCCTGCAGGACAATGTCACGCAGGGCACAGCCCCGCAGGGCTGGGGAGGAGCCTGCGTCGAGGCCCGAGAGGAGGCAGCCAGGACCGATCTCCAGGGGACCCTGAGGAAGAGGCAGCAGAGCATGGAGTGGTATGGCTTGCCCCCAAACCAGAGCCAAATCCTGATCTTGGAAGGAGACAACCACCCTGGGAGATAAGCTGGAGCCAGCATGAGGCAGGTGGTAGAGGGACGTAATTTGCTTTGTCACAGGGCTGTGAGGACAGGAACTACAGAAATCCAGGTCAGGTGACAGCCTCCAGGGCTCTCAGCCATAACTGAGCCCTCAAGGAGAGGGTCTGCCCTGGTCCCCAGGGAGGGACAGCCCAGAGGTGACAGCCTTCTCCCCTTGGTTGTGGAGGTTGACAGCCACCAGCCAAAAGGCAGCCCTGAAGAGGAAGGGTGCCCTAAATCTCACAGCTGTGTCTCCCCTATCCTAGCCAGCACCACATCACCCTGCTGCCCTTTCAGTGCACTGGGAGCTCAGGGTCATTCCCACCATAGTCACGTACCTGAAGGTGACAGTGCTGGATGACACTGCCAGCTGCCAGCCCCACAGCTCCTTCCAGCAGGCAGTTGGTGACCGAAGAGCCATCCTCCAGGAGACAGGGCTGCTGCCGAGGGCACAGAGGCACGTGGGACCGGGGGCCAGGCACACAGCCCAGAGCAACCCCCAGAAAACATGCATGAGCAAGGCTGGGGGTGGAAGCACATACATCCACGTGGGAATGGGCTGTCTTGCAGAAGCGGAGGTGACTGGCAGAGCCAGGCAGGAGAGTCAGGCTGCGGATGTGGTCACTTGCAGAGGTGGTCATGTAGTCATAGGACGCATCAGGGATGCAGGCTGGGGAAGGCAGGACAGATTTCAGCACGCCAGCAAACAGTGTGGGTGTGTTTGACACCCCCATAAGCCCAGGACAGGCTGAACATCCCCAGCTGAAGGGGTGGGGAGAGAAGACTGGGGACCTGCAGTTGTGGGGAGACACAGAGAGCTGCCAGGCCCTGACCACCCCATCTTTCCATACATAGGGGAAGAGGGCCCAGGGATGGGTCACATCACACACACTCACCACAGCACTGAATCACAGAATGGTTGGGGTTGAAAGGGACCTTAAAGATAATCTAGTTTCAACCATATGGCAGGGACAGCTTCCACTAGAAGGTGGAAGGAAGCACTCACCCATGCTAAGAGGGAAGCCACGGAGAGCTGTCCACAGCACGGAGCGGGCGCTCCTCACATTGGCATCGCTGCCACCTTTCACAAAATCCTCCTCTGTCATCCCCCCTGCCATGCTCAGCACGATGTCAAAAAAGAGGGAGAGCTGGGGAGAGAAGGGACTTGTCAGGTGCAGCCACCCTGACCCCCACCCTACTACTGGGTGCTCCCTCCCACCATTTCTCCCACCCAAATCTGGTGCTGTGGGTGCAAATAGACCCTACAGAGATGCCCAGAAGAGGCACCCATGTGGCAAGGGGTCCCATCCCCCGTGGAGGGACTGTCACCTGGATGGGAGGTGCCCCTGAGTCCAGCCCCATGTAGGTACAGGCATCCAGAGGAGGGATGACGTGGGTGGCCAGAAGCTGCTCAGCAGCATCCGAGGAGAAGAAAACAATCCCACAGACCTGTCAGGGCACAGCAGGGCTGAGGCTGCAGTTGTGGTGACACAAGGGATGGCGCTGGCAGGGTCACCAATGCCCAGGTCATGCTGTACCAGTGGGACGGTGCCATCAGGCCCTGCACACTGCTGGATCCGGGCCTCTGTGCCTTTGTAGATGATGTCCCGCACCAGCCCCTGCAAGTGAGACCACCCCAATGAGCTCCTCAGGGAGCCCCGAGCCAAGCAGCCACAGCAGTGCTGGGACCGCAGCAGCCAAGGGATGAAGGGGTGGGGACCTCCAAGGAATGTCCCTTGAAGGGTGAGCTGCCACCGACCTGCTCATCGGCGAGGTAGACCCCGTGGTTCCTGGCATACACCGGGCTCCCGGGCACCGCGATCACTCTGACGCCCTGGAAGCCATCCCAGCTGATCCCTGGGGAGAAGGACAGAGACCAGTGCCCAGTGGGGCAGTGCACATACCCACACTGTGCACAGCTGCCTGAAAACTGGGCCCACGGCAGAGGAGGTGACATCAGCATCGAGCCTGGGCCACCTTACAGGTGCTGCCGACCACACACGGGACAGGAATGCTCAAGCACCCACACCCTCATGGGAGCACAGTGTGGGCTGAACCAGCTGTGCTGCTGGCTCAGAACCCTGTCTCAGGCCAAAGCAAAAGCTGGAAGCAAGGCTACCATTCACTGACCTGGTGTGGAGGGCACGGTGAGGAGCATGTCGGTGCTGCAGACCCAGACGCCGGGCGGGGAGCCCACACAGAGCTGCTGAGAGAGAAGGGCCACGTGCCCAGGGATGGCAGGGAAGGGGCCCGGCCCTCGGGGGGCACCCAGCACCCCTCCTACCATTGTGGGAGCTGAACCCACCCCCAGGGCCCCATCCCCAGGCCACACAGACCCGGTGTGTCATGGTCCCCAGCAGGCTGTCCAGGTTGCAGACCAGCGCCTCGGCCGGGGCGCCGGGCTCCTCCGCGGGCAGGCAGGTGAAGGCGCGGCCGCAGTCGTCGAAGGAGAAGTCGCGACCCTGGTGGGACGGAGAACGTGGCGGGGTCAGCGGGAGGGAGCGGGGGCAACGCGGGGCCCCACGCCGGGCTGCAGATCGGCTCTCACCATGTGTAGGATGAGGATGCGGGCGTCCCTCAGCACGTCAGCGGTCACCACCTGGCAGGGGACAGTCGGGACAGTCGGCGGGGACGGCACAGACACTCCCCTCCCTTCCAGCTCCTCCGAGGCTGCCAGCCCTCACCGTGCAGCCGGCGCGGGCGCTGAGGTGCTCGGCCGCCACCAGCAAGGCGTTCAGGGTGGCACCGCCGCTGCCCAGGCGGGCCCAGGGGTCCTCCACGGCCAGGAGCAGCGCGGGGGGGCGCGGGCCCAGGGCGCCCCGCAGCCGCCGCACCTCCAGCTCTGCCAAGCGAGAGGCGGGCGCCGCTGAGAGCCGGTCCCCGCCGCCCCGCCGCGGCGGGCAGGGAGGGAGGGAGGGCGCCCACCCCGCCGCTTGCCTCGCTGCAGGGCGGACACGGCGCCCTGGCCGCGCCGGCAGGTGAGGAGGAGCGCGCTCCACTCCGCCGCCATGGCCGCCCCCGCCCCGCCGCCGCGGGGCCTGCTGGGAGCTTTAGTCCAGCCCCCGCTGCCGCTGAGGGGCGCTGGGCGAGGAAGGACTACAACTCCCAGAGTGCACTGCGCGGCCGGGCACGGGCCGCTTCAAGGCACAGCGCACTCCGGTGCTGCTCCCCCCCTCTTCCCCCTCCCCCAAAATCCGCCTCCCCCCTCTCGCCAACCCGGGGGGCTTGCGAAGGGGGAAAGGGGGTCTTGGTGTTTTCTGACCTAAAATGGGTCCCGGTGCCGGCGCGCACCCCTAAGCGCCCTCGGTCATCCCTGTCACGAGCCTGCCCGGACTCAGCCCGGCTCCTCGCAGGGATCCCGGCAGCGAGGGGATGGGCGCGGGTGTCGGTGCCCAGCGGGGGTCAGGGCGGGTACCTGATGGGTGCTGGGGTGCGATCGAGGTCGATACCGGGGCATGCCGGTGCGGCGGAGCGGGTACCGTGGTGGATAACAAGGGGTGGGTACTGGGGTACCGATGTCCCGGGCTGGGGACCAGGGTAGGTACCGGAGACGCCTGAGAGCCGGGTGGGTACCGGGGATGCCAGTGCGCCCGGTGGGTACCGAGGTAGGTACCAGGGTGGG